TAGAGAAGAGAAGAATATATTTAAATAGAACAGATTCTGGGTTAAAAACGGAGGATCGACAAATGGAGAAGGAGAAGGAAGCTTTGGGCAAGAAGCATTTCTACCAAACCTCACTCCTTTTTCCTGACCTTCTCCCCCCCTCCCCCTCCCCGTGCAGCAAATTCCCTGAAAATTCCCTGTCCATAAGGTGCAGCTGCGAAGAGCCTCCCTTCCCCAAACAAATCACAACAAAACAAAACAAAAAATAAAAGTATTTGAACATTAGAACCTCAAAAGCAGAGGGGGGGGGAGGGGGAGGGGAGGAATTTATGTCTCCACCGCGCTCGGCAACTCTGGGCCAAAACTCTTTGTTCTGCGCTGCAAGATTTTATTGCAAGGACTGGTGACTGACTAAGAAGCCCCAGTTATTAAATAAAAGCTGTGCAGAGGGAGGAAGGATTGGAGGAGAAGGAAGGAAGGAGGAGGATTGGAAGACAGAGGGGGAAGGGGGAGGAGGAGAGGATGGAGAAGAGGGAGTGATGGAGGGGGAGAAAGAAGGAAGGAAGGAAGATGGAGAGATGGAGAAGGAAGGTTGGAAGACAGGGAAGGGGGAGAAGGAGGAGGAGATGGAAGAAGGATAGATGGAGAAGGATGGAGGAGGAAGAGAGAAGAAAGAAGGAGGGTTAGAGGGAGTGATGGGGGAGGAGAAAGAAGGAAGGAAGATGAGAGATGGAGAAGGAGGGTTTGAAGACAGGGAAGGGGGAGAAGGAGATGGAAGAAGGATAGATGGAGAAGGATGGAGAAAGAAGAGAGAAGAAAGAAGGGTTCGAGGGAGTGATGGAAGAGAAAGAAGGAAGGAAGATGGAGAGATGGAGAAGGAGGGTTGGAAGACAGAGAAAGGGAGAAGGAGGAGGAGGAAGAGAAGCAGGGTTAGAGGGAGTGATGGAGGAGGAGAAAGAAGGAAGGAATATGGAGAGATGGAGAAGGTGGGTTGGAAGACGAGAAGTTGGAGAAGGAGAGGATGGAGGAGAAGAGAGGGTTGGAAGAAAAAAGAAGGTGAAGATGGAGAAGAGAGAGTGATGGAGGGGAGAAAAGAAGGAAGGAAGATGGAGAGATGGAGAAGGAGGATCGGAAGACAGGAGAAGATGGAGAAGGAGAGGATGGAGGAGAAGGAAGGTTGGAAGAAAAAAGGTGGAGGAGAGGATGAAGAAGAGAGTGATGGGGGAGGAGAAGGAAGGAAGATGGAGAACTGGAGGAATATTGGAAGACAGAGGAAGGAGAGAAGGAAGAAGGAGAGATGGAGAGGGAAGGCAGGAGAAGATGGAGAAGGAGAGGAGGGAGGAGGAAGAGAAGGAGAGTTGGAAGACAGAGGAGAAGGTGGAGAAGAGGATGGAGGAAGAGAAGGAAGAAGGAGTTGGAAGACGGGAGAAGATGGAGAAGAAGAGGATNACACACACACACACACACACACACACGAACACACACATCCGTTGGGAGCATCATCAAAAGGAGAAGCCGTGGCGTTTCCAGAACTCCTGCTTTCAAACCCTTCCAAGCAGATGGTCCAGATAAAGAGCATTTTCCCCCCCCTAAACAACTTCTTATTACTGCAGAGGGGAGGATCAGAATGAAGATTAACGTGTTATTTCAACGATAAAGGCCGCTGCTGTCCTCCAGGCTCAAGAGGAAGGGAGGGAGGGCGGGGGGGGGGGAAGGGAAAAAGAAGAGGAGGAAGAAGAGAAGGAAAAAAACCCCTCCAAGATTCCCAGATGTCTTTGTTGCTGCGGCTCAGCAGAGCTTGGTGAAGGAGAGAGGCTGCCCCCTCGCCACCCACCCACTCCACACCCCTGTTTCCAGGCCACCCTGTTTAGAGATCAGGGGAGGTTTTTAAAGAAAAGACTGGACGGTCCCTTTTCTGAAATGGTCTGGGGTCTCCTGTTAGAGCAGGGGGTTGGATTAGAAGACCTCCAAGGTCCCTTCCAGCTCTATTCTGATTGATTGATTGATTGAAATGGTCTGGGGTCTCAGAGCAGGGGGTTGGACTAGAAGACCTCCAAGGCCCCTTCCAGCTCTATTCTGATTGAATGATTGACATGGTTTAGGGTCTCCTGTTAGAGCAGGGGGATGGACTAGAAGACCTCCACTCTGTCAGTCTTTGACCTCACGGTTCAACCCTGAGCTACCCTCTTCTGGTAATTCTGCACCTTTGCCCATATCCTGCCTTTTACATACCTGCCAAAGGTGACTGGTACTAGGAAAGTTTGCCAATTCAATAAAGAGTTAATGCAGGTAGCAACAGATAAATAAAGAGGTGGAAGGAGTGCTAGAACTAGATTTTACAGACACAGAGAGGGGGGGAGAGGGAGGGAGGGAGAGAGAGAAAGAGGGAAAGAGACAGAGAATGAGAGGGAGGGAGAGAAAAAGAGAGGGAAAAAGAGGGAAAGAGAGTGAGGGGGAAAGAGGGAAAGAGGGAAAGAGAGTGAGAGAGGGAAAAAGAGAGAAAGAGTGAGGGGGAAAGAGGTAAGGAGGCAGAGAGGGAGAAAGAGAAAGTAAGAGAGGGAAAGAGAAAGAAAAAGGGGGGAAAGAGGGAAAAAGAGAGGGAGAGCAGGAAAGAGAAAGAGATAGAGATGAAAGAGAGGGGGAAAGAAATAGAGGGAATGAGAGGGAAAAAGAGAGAGGGAAAGAAAGTGAGCGAGAAAGGGAGAGGCAGAAAAAGAAAGAGTGGGAAAGAAGAGAGGGAGAGAGGGAAAAAGAGGGAAAGAGTGAGAAAGGGAAAAAGAGTGAGAGGGGGAAAGAGAAAGAGAGAGGAAAGAGGGAGAGAGAGAAAAAGAGAGGGAAAAAGAGGGAAAGAGAGTGAGGGGGAAAGAGGGAAAGTGAGTGAAAGGGGGAAAGAGGGAAAGAGGCAGAGAGGGATAAAGAGAGAGAAAGAGAGGGAAAGAGAAAGTGAGAGAGGGGAAAGAGGGGGGAAAGGGGGAAAGAGTGTGAGAAAGGGAAAAAGAGGAAAGAGAGAGTGAGAGGGGGAAAGAAAGAGAGAGGAAAGAGGGAGGGAGCGAAAAGAGGGGGGGAAGGGAAAGAGAGTAAGAGAGTGAGAGGGGGAAAGAGGGAAAGAGGCAGAGAGGGATAAAGAGAGAGAAACAGAGGGAAAGAGAAAGCAAGAGAGGGGAAAGGGGGAAAGAGTGTGAGAAAGGGAAAAAGAAGGAATGAGAGAGTGAGAGGGGGAAAGAGAGAGGAAAGAGGGAGGGAGAGGGAAAAAGAGGGGGGAAAGAGAGAGAGAGAGAGAGAGAATGAGAACAAAAACACAACACCTGGCTGGAATTCATACAAGGCAATTTGCAAAGAGACGCCAGTCCCAACACGCCTTGGGAGCTTTCTCGCCCTTTTTAACATTTTGACAGATTCTCTTTCCTTTTTTCAACCCCCTCCGCCCCCCAAACCAACAACCACCAAACACCTCTTGACAAGAGAAGGAAGAAAAGGCAGCAGTTTCACCCGAGCACCGAAGGAAGGGGATCCACCCGGGGGTGGGGCGGGGGGGGGATTTCCCAGCTGTAGGAAAAGGCCGATTGGGGGACATAACCCCTGGCCAAAAATAAAAATTATACTCTTTGTTGCAGGGGTTGATGCCCACAACAGGACAGAGAATCATAGGGTTGGAAGGGACCTTGGAGGTCTTCTAGTCCAACCCCCTGCTCAAGCAGGAGACCCCAGGCCATTTCAATCAATCAGAATAGAGCTGGGAGGGACCTTAGAGGTCTTCTAGTCCAACCCCCTACTCAAGCAGGAGACCCAAGGCCCTTTCAATCAATTAGAATAGAGCTGGAAGGGACCTCAGAGGTCTTCTAGTCCAACCCCCTGCTCAAGCAGGAGACCCTAGACCATTTCAATCAATCAATCAATCAATCAGAATAGAGCTGGAAGGGACCTTGGAGATCTTCTAGTCCAACCCCCTGCTCAGGCAGGAGACCCTAGGCCATTTCAATCAATCAATCAGAATAGAGCTGGAAGGGACCTTGGAGGTCTTCTAGTCCAACCCCATGCCCAATCAGGAGACCCTAGGCCATTTCAATCAATCAGTCAGAATAGAGCTGGAAGGGACATTGGAGGTCTTCTAGTCCAGCCCCCAGATCAAGCAGGAGACCCTCGGCCATTTCAATCAATCAATCAGATTAGAGCTGGAAGGGACCTTGGAGGTCTTTTAGTCCAGCCCCCAGCTCAAGCAGGAGATCCTAGACCATTTCAATCAATCAATCAATCAATCAATCAATCAGAATAGAGCTGGAAGGGACCTTGGAGGTCTTCTAGTCCAACCCTCTACTCAAGCAGGGGACCCTATACCATTTCAATCAATCAATCAGAATAGAGCTGGAAGGGACCTTGGAGGTCTTCTAGTCCAACCCTCTACTCAAGCAGGAGACCCTAGACCATTTCAATCAATCAATCAGAATAGAGCTGGAAGGGACCTTGGAGGTCTTCTAGTCCAACCCTCTGCTCAAGCAGGAGACCTTAGGCCATTTCAATCAATCAATCAATCAATCAATCAATCAGAATAGAGCTGGAAGGGACCTTGGAGGTCTTCTAGTCCAACTCTTTTCTCAAGCNAGGAAGGGAAGGAAAGGTCAAAGAGGAAAGAAGGAAGGTGAACAAAGGCAGAAGGAAGGAAAAGGAAGAAAGGAAGGAAGGGGAAAGAGGAGGAGAGAAGGGGAAAGGAAGGAGGAGGCAGGAAGGAAGGAAAAAGGGAGAAAGGAAGAAGAAAGCAGGAAGGGAAGGAAAGGTCAAAGAGGAAAGAAGGAAGGTGAAAGAAGGCAGAAGGAAGGAAAAGGAAGAAACAAAGAAAGAGGAAAGAAGGGAAAAGGAAGGAGAAAGCAGGAAGGAAGGAAAAGGAGAAAGGAAGAAGAAAGCAGGAAGGAAAGGAAATGTCAGAGGAAAGAGGGAATGTGAAAGAAGGCAGAAGGAAGGAAAAGGAAGGAGGGGGAAAGAGAAGAAGGTAGAAAGGAAGGAGAAAGCAGGAAGGAAGGAAAGGAAGAGGAAAAAAAGAAGGAAAGGAAGACAGAGGAATGTGGAGAGGAAGAAGAAAGAGGGGGAAAAACCATTGCACCATAAAACTCCCTTGACCCCTGCGTGGGCTCCCATCCAGTTCGGGTCCTGCGCTGACCGAGGAGGCCTTGACCTTCAGGCCCCACCTCCGTGGTCCTTCCTCAGGCCATGGTCATCTCTACTGGCTAACTCTAGAGAAGAGGCTGACCGGGGCAGCCCCCACCCCACAATTCATTCTCCAGACCCAGAAGCTCTTCTTTTACTGGTGCCACCTGGAAGAGCCTCCACCTTCTGCTCAGCAGCCCCCTCCTCCTCCTCTTCCACTGGTCCTCAACCAAGGCATGGGAAGCTTCCTTCCAAGGGTCTGCAACGCCGGTGGGTTTATTCCCCCCCATCCCCCTCCCCTGTTGGTTGTTGTTGGCCATGGTGACCTCCGGGTTCCACTTCTCAGAAGGGACCATTTTACCGCTCAAATACCTTTTTAAGAAAATGAGGATGTGCATAGTCCACGGGAGCAGGAGGAAGGCTTGCTTCTGCTGAACGGCTTCTACCGTCCTTCGGGCCACCGTCTCCGGCTTGAGGGGAGGAAAAAGATTGGGAAACCTGGAGGAGAAACCAAAGACACCTCAAAAAAAGAGCACCCCCCTCCTGTGCCTGACATCAAGCACCCTGCTACAGGTAGTCCTCAACGTCACAACGGTTCACTCAAAGTTACGGCGGCGGCGAGGTTACACGGGCGGCCATTGTAGCGCTCCCCATCATTCAGCTGGATTTCCATTCGGGGAGTTTGACCGCCGACTCGCATTTAAGGCCATGGTCGCGCGATTCCCCCCGTCCCTTTGGTGACCTTCTGACCGGCAAAGTCAAGTGTGTAAGCCGGATTCACTTAACGACCATCTGACTCGTTGAACCGCTGCAGGGGGTTCACTTCGCGAGGCAAAACGCACAGGCTTCTCGCTGACATTTTTGGGTCCCGTTGTGGTCGTGAGGACTGCCTGGATGTTGATTTGCCTTCACACGACATGCTAAGCCCGTTTTCGGAAGCTGGGCCAAGTCCATGGGAAGCGTCGTAAAACGGGACAAAAACGGCAAATCCTTTCCCGAGCTGCCGCTACCAGCCATTTTGGGGGTGCCAACGCCATCCCCGAGGGGGCGGGCGACGACGGAAAATGCCAGGCAGCCTCTGTGCTGAAGCTTCCGTCCAACAAGACCCCCATTCCGGTGCCCGAATAGCCCTTCGATTTCTGACATTCCCCCCCCCCCCGCTCCCCCAATTGCGCAGAGGGAGGAAGAGGAGACTTCATGTGTTCATTCCTTCCCAACTTCAGTCCTAAGGCGCTGGGACTTCAACTCCCAGAATTCCCCAGTTGGTAAAGCAAAGCCGGATGAGGAATTCTGGGAACTGTAGTCCAGAGATCATCATTGAACCAGGAATTGGGGGGGAGAAGCACGTTGTTGTATTTACCGCGATGGGGGCATCGACCCAAACGCAGCCAGTCCCCACCTGATGCGTATTCCTTGGAACATCTCCGTGTTGGTGTGGAAGGGCAGGACGGTGGTGGCGTTGACCCCCGGACAGTCCAGGAGGCCCAGGGTCAAGCTCTCCATGAAGGCGAAGGAAGCGGCTTTGGACGTACAGTAGTCCACGGCGCCAGGAATGGCCGACAAGGCCAGGACGGAGTTGAGACAGACAATGTGTCCTCTCTGCAGTTCCAGCATCCGCGGAAGGAAGGCCTTGGTGGTCTGAGGGATCAGGATCAGGATCAGAACAGAGCTGGGAGGGACCCTTGGAGGTCTTCTAGTCTGACCCCATGCTCAAGGAGGAGACCTTAGACCATTTCAATCAATCAATCAATCCATCAATAGAGCTGGAAGGGACCTTAGAGGTCTTCTAGTCCAACCCCATGCTCAAGCAGGAGACCCTAGGCCATTTCAATCCATCAATCAGAATAGAGCTGGAAGGGACCTTGGAGGTCTTCTAGTCCAACCCTCTGCTCAAGGAGGAGACCTTAGACCATTTCAATCAATCAATCAATCCATCAATAGAGCTGGAAGGGACCTTAGAGGTCTTCTAGTCCAACCCTCTGCTCAAGCAGGAGACCCCAGACCATTTCAATAAATCAATAAATCAATCAGAATGGAGCTGGAAGGGACCTTGGAGGTCTTCTAGTCCAAGCCCCTGCTCAAGCAGGAGACCCTAGGCCATTTCAATCCATCAATCAGAATAGAGCTGGAAGGGACCTTGGAGGTCTTCTAGTCCAGCCCCCTGCTCAAGCAGGAGACCCTAGACCATTCCAGACAGATAGCTGAGGAACTCTGGGAATTGAAGTGCATAAGTGGCCAGATCTGGAGACCCCTGCAGTAGAACATAGAATCATAGGCTTGGGAGGGACCACAGAGGTCTTCTAGTCTGACCCCCTGCTCAGGCAGGAGACCCTGGACCATTTCAATCAAATCAGCTGGAAGGGACCTTGGAGGTCTTCTAGTCCAACCTCTTGTTCAAGCAGGAGACCCTAGGCCATTTCAATTGATCAATCAGAATAGAGCTGGAAGGGACCCATCCTGCCCGCTCACTCCCCCCCGGAAGGGAAAATTGGGGTTCATACCCAGAACTGGCCCAGGGTATTGATGTGTTGGGATTTGAGCAAGGCGTGGTCATCGCTGTCCAGGAGGGTCTTGCCATGAACCACAGCTGCGTTGTTCACCAGGATGGTGACATCCCCCACCTGGGAAGTGGGAGGAGGAAGTCGCAAAGGGGGAGGGGGGGTCACGTGATATAGGGGAGGAAGGGAGGAAGGAAGGGGAGGGAAAGACGAAGGAAAGAAAGATGTGATGGATGGAAAAGGAAGGGATGGGTGGAAAGGAAGGGAGAAATGGATGAGAAAAGGAAGGAAGGATGGATGGATGGATGGATGGATGGATGGATGGATGGATGGATGGATGGATGGATG